CCTTCTCCCAATCACCACCACCACCACCATCACCACCATCACCATGCCAATCATCAGGGTCATCGGGTCGAGGAAATAGACGATGATGAATTTGACGAAGAGGACGATGAGGAGTATGATGATGAGGAGGATGTACCAGACGATCATTTACCGGATAATGACCCTACACCAGATTTTTTCAACTTCGGGAATAGCCTCACAGTTCAAGGCAGGTTTAGCCCCGGATTAGATTTTGCACCCACTTGTGGAACAATTATAACTAATTAAGCTACTCTCATTTGACGCTAGGTGGTATATTAACTGTTGCAGATGATCTACTGAAAAATGACGGCAAAAAGTTTATTGAAATGATGGAGCAGCTTGCTGAACGTAGGATGCAACGTGAAGAAGAAGCAAATGCTGTTGCTACTGGCCATACTATGAATATGTCTGTAGGTCAAGGTCATATACCACACACACATACTCAGTCGCAAGAGTATGAGGACGAAGAGGAATATGAAGAGGATGAGGATGAGGAAGGGGAGTACGAGGAGGATGAAGAGGACGAGCCGGTGGGCCATAGCCATGTATCATATAAATTATAATCAGTGCTGACAGGTAATAGGATACGATGACCGAAGAGCAACGCATGGAAGAAGGTCGGAGGATGTTCCAAATATTTGCTGCTCGAATGTTCGAACAACGGGTTCTTACGGCTTACCGGGAAAAGGTTGCACGTGAGAGGCAAGACAAACTTTTGGAGGAACTTGACGAGGAGGCTCAGCTTCGGATTCAACGTGAGGAAAAGAAGGCGAAGGAAAAGGAGCGGAAAAAGGAGAAGAAACGTCTCCAAAAGCTGGCCAAGGAGGAGGAGCGGCTTAAGAAGGAGGCGGAGAAGGCTGCGGAAGAAGCTAGACTCCGGGCAATTGAGGAGAAGAAGGCGGAGGAAAATAGGAAACGAAAAGAAGAGCAAAGGTTGAAACGGGATGCTGAGAAGAAGGCGGCAGAGGAGGAACGTCGTAAAAAGGAGGAGGAGAGGAGAAAGCGCCTCGAAGAGGAGCGGGAACGAGAGGCGGAGCGAGAACGGAAGCGTAAGGAGCACCAAGAACGGGAGCGTAAGAAAAGGGAGGAAGCCGCAAAAAAGGCAAAAGAGGAAAAGGACGCTCGGGACAAGGAGGCCAGGGAGAAGCGAGAGCGGGATGAACGAGAGAGGAAAGAGAGAGCAAGGAAGAAAGAGGCAGCAGATCGTGAGAATGCAAGGAAGGAAGAGGAGGAAAGGTCAAAAGCCGAGGCCCTTGCAGCTGCTACAGCTGCAGTCAAACGTCCACCCCCTGTTTCGGTACCGGCATCTATACCTCAAGTATCGCAACACCCACCTGGTAGTTTTAGTTCCCCTCACCTATCCATTGCAACACCCGCCCTACCCAAACAGCCTGTCGGGCCTTCACCTGCTCGTTCTCGAAATGCCTCCCAGCAGGGCTCTATCCAGGGATCCGTGGCGTCTTCGCCCAAGACTCCTCAGGCGGTTCCGAGAATGGGCCCCTCTGTGTCGCCTAGTACGCCTATCTTACAGCATAATATACCTGGTCCAATTATCCCCTCAAATAAGACATTCCAGTTCCCACCCCACATACCTCATATGGTGCCTACCTCACCATTACCTCATCATATTGCACCACCCCCAGGAGTCCCACCGCCCGAGGGCTTCCCTATATCCCCCATTGGAGTCAACAATCCCATGAACCCCTTCCTCCCCGGGCTTCAGCGAGGACCACCTTTCCCAAATGGAATGCCAATGTACTCTCCTGCCCAAATGCCGTTGAGTTCCGCCTCTCAATACCGTGGGTTCGCTGCGCCAAACGGTATGCAAATGCAAGTTCCAGCGACACCAGGCATGAGGCCACTTCCTCAGCAAGGGCGTGGCATTTTTGTGGCAGAGATTGCTCCCGGAATGCCGCCTCAACTTTCTCCAGGGGTTCCATTAATTGCACCAGGGTCACCATTCATGAATAACCGTGCGGAACCTGTTCCCATACCAGGCAACCATTCCCACAACCGGGCGCTTTCTGGTTCCTTTGATCCAATCCAACACCCGACGCCTATTCAACGACCCTCTAGCGTAGCCCCACCAAAGAGCTTGGATGACAATCGCAATAGCATTGACGAGCTCTCCAAGGTAATGGGAAGCCGCGCATTACTGGAAGACGACGATGAAGGTCATTTGACAGAGAACCAATCGCCTAACCGACGCACGAGCGGAGTTGGGTTTTCACCTCTGCCCACACGAACTGTACCGGTACCGTTCTTTGATTCTAGGGGTAATTATCCTTCAAGTTCTCTCCTTTTGCCCATGTTACAGAAATTAACATTATCTAGTCGATGGACTCAATATCCCTGTTCCGTCTTGGACGAACCCAGCTCCCCTGGGAACAATTTCCAATTCCCTCCCTAATACATGGGCAAGTGGTGCTGGTTTGTTTCCTCTATTCCTATCTTACGAAGCTAGCTTTTCTTACAAACAAGCTAGGATGGTCTGATACCGACGCCGCGCGAAGTACTTTCAATCGCCGCCGGATTAATAGGGTTGATCACATCCGGGCTTTAGCGTGCAAAAAATGCCGCGAATTAGGAGGAGAGAACAATAACTTTGTTGAAGTCTCTACCCTGTTGAGAGCCATGGAACAAGTATCCCATCCGGACATGCAAATCCTCATGAAGGATCTTGCTGAAATCCTAGACATTGAAGGGGATGAACTCAATGGTGGTGGAATCCTTGCGGTGACGCACGACACGGATGGAAGGACATTGGTTCGGTTTGAAGGTGGTGAGTTATTTGGTGTTGATGGCGCTCCATTGCACCAAGCGCCTGGGGCGCCCGCTAGTTCTGGCTTTCACGGGGTGCCTGGTGAGATTGGTTCCCCAAATGCGGGCAACGCAAGTCCATTCAAACCGGTCCCACCTCCGGGCATGATGGTCAGTCCTAACCCCTCTGGATTTTGACGAGTTTTACCACAATCTCTGGGGCCATTTGGGGGTCCTTTGGTTACATTTTTTTCTTTTTCGCTTACTTCAAACTTGCTTTCTCTTTTCTTTCCTTTTACGGTGATTGGGCTGGGGTTTTATGATTGCTGGTAGCATTGGAAGAAGGGGCGGCTCTGAATTGAATAACTTTAAACATTCTAGTTCTCATCGGCGTAGTCATACTGGCATAATCATGTTCTCGGCGGAAGCAAAAAATGCTAGATTAGCGATTCCTCAATAGTAGACTAATAAACATTTAAATTTACTTTTTTCATACCCATGACGTTAAATTTGCGGCTTTTTCAAGCCGACGGAGGTTCGCTAATCGATGCCATCGCGTCTAAAATTCAGAGGCCTGGCGGCAAGCTCAAAAAAGTATGTCCTTTATTGGAATCGCTACGCACACAGGCACCTCTTTGTGACCCTTTGATTCAACCCAATCCGTCCACAGTTCCTACGGTGATGGAACAAAAAGACATTCCGGATATCTCGAGCTTTGAATTTTATCTCTCGCCTGCCAAACTGTTCTATATTTTAAACAAGTCTACCTTATTCAAGCCTGTAGACACGCAGCAAGCATTCCCATATTTGATCTCTCCTGCCAACTCCCCCACTGATAGTGTACATTTGGGTTTTGCCGTGCCGGGCATCTACAAAAAGAGAGGGAAAGGAAAACAGGATATTTCTGCTAGAGCTCTCAAAGATTTGACAGTATAATCTAAAGACCAAAGCGGATTTCATTGCCGTGGCGGCCGGTGAGCTTGTTTGTAATATCTCAATTATGAGGATGTGAGGTTTGGTCAAATTTCAGCTTTCGAATATATATATATATATCGCTCCTAAAATTGATCTGGGACTGCTGGTCAGTTTGCCGAGTGATAAGATGTGATGTACTTTAGTGGGGAACTTATTGGTTATCGTAGCTAGGCTTGTGATCTGCTAGGGCGAACCAAAGTTAAGGTAGAATATTGGATGGGGACAGCCATCATTTTTAGCTTGCCTCTACTCTATGATATCCTCGTAGTAAATCTCTGGTTCTCAACAATAGTGTTTACTGCAATCTACTGGCCCGTGCGGCTTACTGCAATTTGCCTATGGGTGGACCAAAAGTGGCGGTTGCCCTCTCTTGGATTTCATGGTGTAAATGACGACGTCTGCACTGTCTGACTTCAGCTCTGGAAAATTGCGCTCCATTCTTGTTCAGTACAGATCACATATCGAACCAGAACTATCAGTAGACGGTAGGAAGAAAAAAAGAGTCTGTGTTGTGCTAATATCATCACTTGATCCGCCAGTTGAAGTTGTCTCCCTGATCGGCAGAGAGTTACTTTACCTCTCTCCTAAGGACTAGCTGCTGTCTTAATGTCTTGCTCGCACCGATCCTGGTCAATAGCGTATACTATGATACAAATAGTACGCGAAAAAGTGCACTTTATTCAATGTATTGTTCTACGGTTATGGTGGATAATATATGTCCCATCTCAGCGAGAACCGTAACAGCTTCACAGATGTATCTGTCGTTGCTATTGCTTTCCCCCCTCTTGTCCAGCCCAACCCCCTCCTCCTGCAGTTTAAGTTCTCACCTTGTGGTTATTACTGCCTCCCCCACCTTGGAGCAAGCATGCCAGCAGAATCCGACTTTAATATCTTCTTTTGGTCGAAGGAAATTGTTGGCACTTATGATGGGAATACATATACCCATCGCACACCTGTCCAAACCCTTACGAAATTTCCTTAAGTAGGGTTATGTATAGGAAGAAAAGGAGGCTTCTAAGGATAGATAATATTCCTATCTAAAATTCTACTATCTATGAGAGTGTTTATTATGTTTACTCTAGTTGGATAAGTTATGGAACATAATGCATGATAGTTTTGTCTTGTCAGGATATTAATAATATCAAGCCCTAAACTATAGACTTTTGCTACTCTAATAGTATTCTGAAAGGAGAGAGAGTTTAAAGTTTTTTTTTTTGTCTACACCTGGCTTGGCATTTCTGAGGGAGGTCTATATAAAGGGATCTACCATCCCCCTCCTTCTCTTCTTTCTTTATCAACTTCTTTCACTCTTTCTTCTTGCTCACACAATATTGCATAACACTACACAATAACACAACACAACACAATACAATATAATACTACACAACACTATATAACACTACACAACACTACATAACACTACACAACACTACACAACAAAGTACTGGTGGGAAGGAAATACAGGTGGGTTGGTGGGTGGGAATTTATTAATAGGAGGGATGGAATATAGGTGGGCTAGTGGGTGGGTTTTTACTAATAGGAAAGATGGATTATAGGTGGGCTGGTGGGTGGGTTTTTACTAACAGGAGGGATGGAAATATAGGTAGGCAGGTGGGTGGGTTTATTCTAGTGTAGATAGGGGAAAGAAAGCCACTTGCTTTTATACATTGCCTTTTGGTAACTGTGATGATTGCATGGCAATAAAAATCTCAAAAAGAGAAGCCATAGTACTGTAAATCTATGTTGTTTTCCACAACATAAATTTACTTTACAAAGGATACATATACTATACTATTTATTCTAGTTAAGAGATTGTTAGAAAGTGCTATTATTTGATAGGTGGGGAAGTCTGGGATGTACAATAGGTTTAATAATGGAAATTACCTTTTAATAATATAATATTATTTATTTAAACTTAACTATAACTATATATACTTTTCTGATGGAAAAAAAAAAAAACCCCTTTCTACTTCCTACAACTGTCTCTTAAGCAAAGTCCTACAAATGTTAGTGCTAAATATGATACGGATGTAAATATTCACGTCAGACAACTATAAACCTAACTTACCCCCCTACAGTATGATGTGAAGTGTTCCTTTACATCATACTCGTAAGTCTACCGTAGCATACTGTACTCACTCGTTTTTGCTAAGAATACCTCCGTGGGCTGGATATTTGGTGAGGGTTCTAGCAAAATATCTGGTGCCGGAGGTATTCTTTGGAAAGACGAGTGAGTACTGCATCGTATGGTATCGTATCAACTCTACGCGTCCGAGAGTGGCCGAGTGATAAGATGTGATGCAGTGCCCCAAAACGCTTGTATTGGCCAGCAAGACACGTAACCTCCGAAGGCGGGGCAATGGCTGAATTAAGAAATGAGATCTCCACAGCCCGGCCTCAACTCCTACAAAACACTCTAGTCCCGTCCAGTGCAGACCACGCCACCCACTTATCAAACACAAACCGTCAGTAACTTGAAGAAAATAAAGGGCCGAAACTATGCCAACCTTACTTGATCCTCCAGTTGAAGTTATCCCCCTGACAGCCAGGGAGCTAGATCCGGGAGATCCCAATTTTTTCCTACAGACCAACCGCTATCTTTAATATATCTTACACGCATCCACCCTAATCGACAGCGTGTGCCGCAATCGAGATCAGAAGTATGCGGAGAGGGCACCCTATTCTGCAACTGAGAGCAGGAGCAGGTAGGCCGCGTAGCAGTTGCTCTATCGAGGATAGCCCACGCCGGCGGCGGAAATTGCTCCACAAAGCAGTATCGATGGAGGACGAAGTGATCATGCAGACATTTTTAGAGTGCGGCCTCGACCTAGAGGTGCGGAATAAGGATGGCTAGACATGCCTGGTTCTCGCGGCAGCGGAGGGGAAAACGACAATCACACGAATGCTGCTGGAGCGGGGCGATGTTGACGTCGACGTCATCGTTCGGGCCGACGAGGGCCTCACACCACTGACCGCTGCTATCCGCACGGGAAAGGTGCACATCGTTAAGATGTTCCTGTAGCGCCCTCGGACCGACCTTTATATAAGTGCCTCCAGATCGCGTCCCCCATTCCATATCGCCATCGAGAATCATGAGAAAACGTGCAAGTCGGTGGTAAAGCTTCTCCTCGCTACCAAGAGAACAGCCCCCAACCTCATGGACTCTAACGGAAACACCGCGCTGCACTTGTCGGTCCAAACACTATGCTATCCAGCGACGATGCTCCTCCCGCGAAGCGATAGGATCATGAAAGCGCCAATCAATGGCAGCCGCGATAGCCCGCTCCACACTGCGACAGCGTATGGAGACAGGTGCGCTGCACACCACATGCACCGCTTATGCTCTCAGTTACATCTCAACTACGGCGGCATCATGCGGAACGCACCTCTACATGTCGCAGGCTTGCACGGGCATCAGGATATAGTGAAGGCTCTTACAGCGAAACCTGGAATGGATATCAATTCGTGGGATCGCGATGGGAATACGCCGTTGCACTGGGCGGTTAGGCGGGAGAGGGTGGCGACGTTGCTCTTGAAGCGAGGGGCGAGTTTACACTTAAAAAATGACGATGACCATTCAGTGGCGATTTTGGCTGACATCGGCGCCCCGAGTATCGGTATCAAGAGGAATATAATGAGGTATCTCTAACCTCCTTGCATACTGATATGATGCTGTAGGAGATCTTCCACCGATGGTGCAGCACAATCAGTGGGATCGTTGGGTTCTTTTTTCATGTTGGAACGCAGGGGCGAAGTGACGTTGTGGTATGTATGGCCGGGATGATTCTATAGAGTTGTGCAATGATCTGGGTGAAATAATTATTATACTGAGCTTGAACCGAGCCTTTCTCTGAGAAGGAAAGAATGTATATCTCAAATTTCCTCCCTCTTCTCAACGATAGGGAATAAGTTACTCCGAGAAAGGCGGTAACATCAGCGGGTATAGTGCTGCGCCGGGGAGGAAAATAGACATGGCAGATTTAATATTCCAAGGGGGAGTAGTGAGGGACGACCATGAGCCATATACTCAAACGCTAACTAACCAAAGATGATACCAGCATCGGCTCGAAACACGTTTGGCGTGACGCTTCACGGCACCTTGGTATCAGAGCCGACAGTGAGGCGAGTGACTTACCGTGACGTGATATTTTACCAGTGCATTGGGAGAAGATATCTAGATTCTATAGCAACTGCCCTTGGGACTATGTGGTGACTTGGTTACCGGAGCCTATGGTGAGAACCTACAGTATGAATCTGGTTACATCTAGGACCCCAAGCGAGTTGTCGAAAAGATACATTCGGCAAAAAAGCTACAAACGGTTGCGCATTCTCAAGAAAAACTGCCCCACCACCTACGGCAGCAACATCCTCGCAAAGCAACCCATATTCCTTAGCATAATCCTCAACTATCATCCAAACCTTCTGAATCTATTCACGCCTCCATCTCTCTCTATATATATACACCCCTTCCCTCCTCCCCTCCTCACCACAATCGCCCCACTCACCCCCTCTTCCACTCGTGATTCCATCCACCCTTCGCCGGCGTATCCGTCGGGATCCTAAACTCCACAATCGGATACCTAAAAGTCGACTTGGCAACCGCTCTCTCGTAAAGCCCCTGACTCGTAAGCCTCAATTCCTCGCAGGCATCTCTCATCTTATTGTACTGCCTCTCAAGCTCGTGCTCCCGCTCCTTCCGCTGCGCGGCCTGAAACAGTTTCCACGCGCGATGGATCGTCCAGTGCCGGAGCATGCGCATTGTGCCAAATCGAAGCGGGCGGGGAGTTCTGGGATGGTAAAGGGAGTAGCGGATTAATCCTGCCAAATATTTATTGATTAGTGACAGAGAAACGGGGGGTCGAAAAAAAAAAACTACTCACTAACTCGAATGTCAGTGGGAGCGCCCTTTTTTGACTTTTTCGCCATGCTGCGGGTGAAGGATGTGGGTACGGTGCCGTTCCCCAGGGCGGTTGCGGCGCGGAGGGCTTGGAGGTGGGCTGGTATCGAGAATTGAGGGAGGGAGAGCGTTGTAGAACTTATTCGGAGCATCTTCGGTTTGGCGGCGCTTTTTCGGGGGTGGTGTTTCGCGGGGACGTTTGGTGGGGTGTGAAGTGAACTTAAACTTTTTTGCCAAGAGCTATCATTGGCTTGGCAGTCCTGGGTCAGGTTGGGTCAGGGGTTGGCCGAGATGGTGCGGTTTGGAGCAGAGGCGAGTGTGATATTATTATGATGACATTGTTGTCATACCGCTATGATAGCCTACCGAGCGAGCTTCAATGGTGAGTTAGCAATTCCCCTACGAGATATGGATGATATTAATCTTCTACCAGTGGGCATGGCAGTACGAGTAGGGATCTTGCTTAACCGGAAAAATACCAGATTCTAGACCTCGATTCCAGAACGGTAGGAGTGATTTCAAGGTTACGGTACCATTTTATAACTCAATACCGGTGACTGGTTACTCGTAGCACAGTTTCACAAGGCGTAAACATATTCCAAGCTGCACCAGTAAGACTACGGTAACAGATCTAGGACCCCCACTCGAGTCGATCCCGTCGATCTTTGGCACCAATAACGCTACTATGCAAGTACTGTACTGTACTGTACTGTACCAACATCAAAAATCACCTAGCAAATCGGTCCAGCCTACGGCTCCCATAACTCCAAACCTCCCAAGCCGGCTTCAACTATAGAAAACAAAACCACCCTCCGATAAAATACCGTGTCCAAATGCGGGCCCGACCTACCGCACAGCACTTAAAAGCCAAGTTAATTTCCTGACATAGACAAGCTTCAACAAATCCCAGTGGCTTGGACGCCACCGGTGCCCAGTGCCCACATGTGGTTACTCAGGGGAATCCCTGCAACACTTTTCTGGAAGTCTACGAGTAAGGTACGGCACTTTGTCTGGGCTTCGAGTCGGGTTTTTTTCTTGATGATTCCTTTGGCGCGTTGATAGATATTTATGAGGTTTCTACCGGTACGGGAGTTGGGGATCCTTGATTATCCAGGGGGGGGATCGTATCTGTATTCATGCAGAATGATTTCTGGTGATCGGATATACTACTTGTAGACTTGTAGTTCCCTGTACTGTACAGTAAGGGATTTTTTGTAGGAAATTGATAGACGTTAGAGCAGAATGGCGGCTTTTTGGTAGCCTAAGTATCCCATTCTCCATGAACTATCCTGTTTCTGTCGCAATTGCACAAATCCCCACATTGCTGCCTATGGTACTCGCACTAAGCACAGTGCTTCTAACAGCAGCGACCACGGTAGGGAGATACTTGTACGAGTAGATCTCTGCCAGCCATCTCGCGGGAACAATCTGAGACCTGGCAAAACACAAATTTAAAGGCCGGCTTGTTGTACGCCAAATACCAAGACCCCACTGTCACAATTGATACAAGCTTATCCCAATCAAGACCATATAATATTGTAATAAAGGAGCCCATTCTTCCAAAGCTCAAGCCCAAAGCACAACCAAGAACTCCCTTATAAGCCCAAGCACCCCCCCTTTCCCAAATCCTTTTCTCCTCCTCTCCCCCCCTCCATCCCACAACACACCACACTCGTTCATTAACCCACAAACACGCTCATTTTCAGACCAACTCGAACCTTCACTTCATCTCCAGAAAAATTGCCTAACAAAAAAAAAAAAAATGCAGTTCACTACTTTCACCCTCTTTACCTTCGCCGCCTTCGCCGCCGCTGGTACTATCCATGGACGTGGAAGTGCGGAAGACGCCGCTATCAGGGATTTTACGGAGAAGTGCAAAAGTCAAGGTCAGACCGTGATCTGCTGCAACAAGACTGACGGCGGCGCTTCCAAAGGCGAGTTGACCGGAAATATTGGCGGCGTCGAGGTCTGTTGCAATAAGGTTCCTTCTTATGTTTTGGCTGGTATGACATGCCGTCCCTTTCATTACCGGGAGTGAGATCAGGGCTAATAGGAGGGGGATTTATAGGAAACCAGGCCCAGACCCGGGCTCAGTGTGGTGGTGGGCTTGGTTGCTGTACCGATGATGCTATTCGGGTATGATAAGTTTAATTTTCACTTTATTTTAGGGTTTGGAGCTAATGACTTTACAGGCAGGAGTTGTCGATTCCAATTCTGGGTGTTCTGTTTTCGTTGTCTAGGCTAATTGCCAGTTCACCACTACGTACGCTTAGGATGCACGGTGCAGGAGTGGGCGTTAAAACAGAGGATGTGGAACCTTGGGGGGAATATTTGTTCTATATCAGTATTCTTAGTCCGGCATATTTAGTAATTCACCTCAGTTTCTCATCAAACCTAACATGTTGGACGAGCCATATCACCTAGTATGATACTTGGAATATTCATTTCTACGCGGAGTTACAGCCCGTGGTAAAAAAAAAAAAACGTGGAAATGAAACCTCAGAAACACGGTTACTCAATCGGCTCGAACCCGCCGAGCTATCCGGCAGTACAGTAGTCTACATCTCACTCTGCCCGCCCCCCACCGCTCACTCTTCGCATGATCTTCTGGAACTTCCGGAACCAATTATCCTAGCGGAAAATCTTCGGATCCGGATCACCGTTATTCGAAATGGCAGATATGCTCAATTGACTTAACCAATTTGCTCCAGCCAGGCGAAATAGAAGAAGGCTTAAGCACCACCCGTAAAGGTCGTATCCACCCAGAGCTGGTAGTGAGTGAGTGAGTGACTCGCCGGACGATCTTTTTAATTCGTGCCCGAATGAAGAGGGGGGGGGGGTTGCCTGTGCGTGCTGTACGAGGGTGTAAGGGTAAGTGATCAGAACGGATATGATTGGTGGATCTTGTGAAAGTCAGAAATCAAGTTTCAGTAACCCAAACCCAATCTTGGGAGTGAGGTCATCCAATATAAACAGGTTTGTAGTCAATACCGTGCAACCACCAAAACACCATTCAGAATATCCTTTGCATCTTACAATGCATTTAAAGGGAACGCGGAACGAGCACTTTCCTGGTGATTCAAAACGTCGAGAAACAACCCGAGATGAGTGACTTCGTATTATTACCCTTCGTGACGAAGCGAAAATGAAGTGGAAAGATATTGCAGCCCTTGTTAATATAAAGTTAAGTACTTGTCATGATATTTACACTCATTCGAAAGCCAATAACACACCAACAAACAAATATCGTACCGGCCGACCACCCATTTTTGATGAAGCAGAAAAAGAACGACTGCAACGCTTCATCACAACTGATAAGCAAACTCGTTGCCTACCATGGGAGGATATTTTGGAAGCACTTGGATATAGCTGCTCTGTTTACACACTTCATAATGTGTGTGCATCAATGGGATACCATAAGCGGTGTCCACGAAAAAAGTATATTCTTTTAATCTTACTTCAAATTGTTTTATTTCAGTATTTGTTTTTTTTTTATATTTAAATCTATAGAAATTAGAGCTAATTGTATAAATTAATTATAATATTAGATTTGGCGTTCGTGAAAAGAATAAACCTCTTCGCGTCCAATGGTGTCAGGAACAACTCCATTGGACATATGACGATTGGCTACGAACGGTATGGACAGATGAGTCTACCTTTACAACTGCGGGCTTTGGGTATCGGCCCTGGGTTTTACGTAGGCCAGATGAAGAGTTTTATGCCAATTGCGTCGATGAAACCTGGGAGTCAGGAAAGGAAGGCGTAATGGTTTGGGGTGGATTTTGTGGTGAAATGAAGACCATTTTACATACTATTCCTCCAAAAACCAAGGTTGACTCTAGGTATTATGTTACTCACATCCTTGATCCTATTCTTATCCCATTTTGGCATCAAACTTGTGAACGATATGGTTGGACACAGGTAATATTATATGAACACACATTTAAATAAGATTTTATTAATTACTAATAGTAACAAAATAGGTTGTCGAAGATGGTGCCCCAGGACATCAGAAGTTTTTGAAGCATTGGCGTCAAATCAACAATGTCGAGCAACTCGCGTGGCCTCCACAATCCCCGGATTTAAATCTCATCGAGGCACTATGGGGTGATTTGGAGACTGAGTTAGGAGAGACCTTTGGGAGAATCAAAGACATAGAGGTTTTAATTACAGCAGTGAAGGCTGTTTGGGATTCTATTAGGGTTGACCGGTTGGATGGCTTAATTTGTAGTATGCCAGAACGCCTTGAAGCTGTGATTGCAGCAGGTGGTATGGCTACATCATACTAGAATGGGAAGATCTTCTGCTTTCCGATCACTTTTTTCCTCACATTATATTTGAAACCTGATTGGCTGCTCTCTGGCCATCTGTGGCAACAGTTGGTCAAATTAGCGGTTTTCCGATCACTTTTCTCCACCCCCTCGTACAGGCGAAGCTTTCAACTCCATCTTGGACTTCTTCTCCTGCTCGGTTGTGCTTGTGCTCTTGAGTATTTGCGGGACGGGGATATGTTTCCCCCGGGTACGTGCGTTTGTAAGGGGGGTTGTGGAGTGTGTGGCTTGGACATGGCCGCAGAGTATTACTCGTGGGAGAGGGAGTTGCAAATTACTGATTATGGGGTAGGTGGTCACCAGGAACAATGTTCCACGGATCATGCTGATCCTGTGCTTTGGGGGCGGAAGGGTTTTGTGTGAGGTGAAGATCTTGCGGCGTGGGGGTATGGGAGGTGGTAATTCCTTCAAAGGGATAGATAGATCAAAGGTAGTGAAAAACTCAAATGGGATTAACTATGATAACTACGGATTTTGCGTCAAAAGTGAAAAGTGGACTGGCATTCTACCAGCAATTCACTGTATTATCGTTTCCCCACACATTTCACCCCTCTATCAGAGCTTGCTCCTGCCTCCCTCCAACAGCAGCTCCTCCAGAGGAACTCTCCCCGCGTCACCACCGCCCCTACTCCCATCACCAAGCCCCCCAACATGTTCCTTCCACCCCCATTTCTTCCCAAACCTTCCCTTCCCTACAAGCACATCCACAATCTCACCCCCCAGCACTGGCAAAAACTTGAACGCATGCCCACTTCCCCCACTAGCAATGAACAGCCCCTCATATTCCGGATGCCAGGTCACCAAAAAGTCGCCATCAGGGGTGTCAGTATACCAACACACCCTAGTCTTCTCGAACGGTCTCTCGGAGAACTCGGGCACTAGCTGTTTGACCGCATCCCTCAGCGCACCTTCACCCTCCTGTGGAATGGCCTTTGGGAATACCGGCGTGGGGGAAGCGTATCCCTGTGCGTGCCGGGCGAACTTTAGGGTTGGGGGCGAGGTGCTTGGGGAGTGGATTATTAATGTTCCTGTCGTGAGGTTTAGGAGTACGGGCAGACTTGCGTAGCGGATCGCTTCTTCTCTGGATAAGGTTAGATAGGCTATGACTTGCCCCGACGGGACCGCCCGGCCATGTAATGGAACGAGGCCGGGTGTCCATGCACCGGCAGCGAGAATAGTAAGTCCCGCGGTGACCTCTTTCCCGTCGAGAAGTTTGACGCCGAGGACCCTACGCCCTGAGTAGAGGAGTCCCGACACCTCCGCTATTAAAAACCGGACGTTCTCCCGGGATTCAACTTCCGAGTGTAACATCCGCATTGCGGTTTCTGCGTCGACCCAGCCGCTGTTCCAATTCACGTACCCGGACTTTCCGCTACATCCTCCTGCCATAAGACCAGCAATATCTTTCTCGGTAGGGAGATATTCTACCCCGACCTCTGATTTCACATTGCCGTAGGAGTCATTGAGATACTTGTTCTCTCCATCAGCAGTGACGACTAATCCTGTTTTGTGGAATGCTAGATGCCCGGCCCAATGCCTGAGGGCTTCCCGGCCTAGGATTGAGTAGGCCGGATCTGCATAATCTGCGCGGACGATACGAGAGGAATCTATTGAGGCACTGTAGGGGCATGGGAAAGCATGTTTGTCTATGACAGTAACTATGGTGGAGGGGTATCGGTCTGAGAGTGTGCGGGCGGTGGACACTAGGGGGGCTCAAAGTTTAGCTATGGGAATGAGTTAATGAGGGACTAGTATGGGGCTTACAGCCAAAGACTCCGCAACCCACTATGATAATTGACAACGGAGGGGTGAAAGTGGGAGCCATTGTTGATAATTACTATAGGAACTTTTGGCGGAAAGAAGGAATTGGGTAGAGGAGAAAGGGTGATATAGGGTGCAGGGTGAGTTGGCGTTGCTATAAGTATTTGTGCAGCCACTGGGACCGCACTACCGGTACTCCATATGCAGTAATTCTATATTCCGGAGCTACATACTCGAGCACTCGGGCGGCCTATCTCTCATCGATGAAGCATGACACTCTATGCTAACCTGAGTCTAGTGCTGGTATTCTGGGTGTCATATTACATTGAATATCTTACTGGTAAACTAAAAAAACTATCAATTAGCCACCAACCACCTAGAAGCGTGACCCTAGGTATAAGACAAAGAAGATAACATGAACTCCACTCAAACAAGAACCAATTTGACAAAATCAACATTACACCCTCGCGGCTCATACCATCATGGCAATTATTAAAGGAAACACGGCAGCATATAAAACTATGGCCTAACTATCCAGAAGTTTGTTGTTACCCGCCAACTCTTCCTCCACAAGATTTTCGTAGTTTTCCAGGCTTTCTTGAATGTGCACCTTAAACTTGATGACTTCATGAAGCATCTTATCAACCTCTCCGTGAAACTTTTCCCGGAGGGCATGGCAAGCATGTTCCAGTTGATCGCGCCTGCAACCTGTTAGGCTGGTTTTTACTTAAATAGTGGGAATTAGGAAACTTACTCAATGGTAACGCTCTGCATACGTTGCTCCAAAGCCAAGACGCCATTAGACATGTTTAATCTCATGCTTGCGAGCTCTTTCTCAAGCTTTTCAATTTCCGCATTTGATGCATTTCCCTCCGCTGCCGTAGTCTCCTTGAGCTCCTGGTATTCATCAACTGCGGTGCGGACTTTAGCATGCAGAGTGTCAACCTCATCCCGCTTATCTGCCAATGTCTCGACTATGCGATCTATCAACTCTTGAGTCTTGATAGCTTCGTCCTGGGCCTCGTGGATTCGTGCTCCAATTTCTTGCCGGAGTCTATTGAGAGCTGGTTTAATATCATGTCGTAGATCACGATTAAGAAGCTGAGCTGGCTGATATCCAACCTCGTCCGCGAGTAGCTTGTTTTCGGGAGTCTGGGCTGGGAGAATAAGGAGCTCAAAGTCCTTTCCCTCGGCATTTCGAGATGACGAGGGTATAATGCCGATTTGATACGCCAGCGAGTTGTACCTCGATACCGAGCGTTCGAGAGCTTCGAGTTTTGATGAAGCCTCGGATTCGCGCTCCGCCAGTTGGATCCTAGCTTCAGTGATTTTGGAGGAGATAAGAGAAAGGGACTTGGAGAGCTTTTCACGGTCGTTGTTCATGCGGTCTATATCCGCTGGTGTCAGGCCTTGTTTGTCGACAGCTTCTTGGAGACTTTGCTTTTCGGCTGTCAACTCTGCAAGTTCTCGTTCAACGACCTCAATCTCTTCCTTGAGCTTTTGATTGGATGCGGTAACCTTCGGGATGCGGAGTTCTAGGCGCTCAACGTAGTTGACGAATTTTTGTTTATCACCTTCGAGAAGAATTCGGGTATCCTCCAACTTCTTGAGGGGATCGGCAGATTCGTCCATTCCTTCAAGTTGTTTTTTGAGCTGCTCGTTCTCTGATTCAAGCATTTCTAACTCCTCCTTGTATCCCGATTGTCGGTCTTCAAAAGAGGCAGCCATCTCCTCCAAGAATTCATCGTGGTCATCGTTCTCCACAAGCCATGCTGAGTAACAGCGGGTAAGGTACCTGAAAATGATCTTTTCCGCTGCAATGTCCACGCCTTCTGCCGCAGCTGCGTCATCGAATTCCCCTGATTGAAAGCGTTCCATAGTGACCGCCAACTCCATCATCCAGTGTAGGATTCCCAAGAATTGCGGCCACGAATTCATGGACCCAACTGCTGCTAGTTGCGATTTGGTGATTGTACTAGCGTAGGGGTATCGGAGGGTTTTTAAGATGGGTAAGACTTCATTTTCAATCGCTTTCTGAAAATTGTAGTTTGGGTCAAGTCTTTTGTACAGCCACTGGAACACCATCGAGAAATCCTTCTGGGTAGGACTCTTAAGGGAATTGGGACCGAGCGTATGCTTCATCTCTAACTCGAACCCATTGTTGACGACGTACTCAAATACTTTGCTAGCAATTTCCTGTCGATATGCAGAGTCTTTGAGTGGCCTCGGATCTCTCTGAACAGTTGCGGATGCAGCACTACTGAAGAAACTGTTCATTTGGCTGAAGGCCGCCACACCCATGGAAGAGCGACGCATAACGCTACTGCGACGCTGGGACGGGGGAGGCTGGCTAGAGGGAGCATAGGATTTGCGCGCGGAGTATCTCGAAGGATCTCGCTTTGCAGTCGACACAACGTCTGGCTGGTTGTAGGCGGGACGAGCAGCCAGTGACATGCGGGAGTTTGATGGCCTAGAGTTGGAGTTTGATCGCTTCAATGCCGAAGCAGGTTGAGGGATACCAGAATTATACATGCTTGAGCCTGGTACTCCGCTGATAGTCTGAAGGATGGATCGTTAGACGATTCTTTGTTAATCCCGGCGGGGAAGGAATACTTCTCTAGGGCGCTTGAAAGCACTGAAAAGGTTTGGATCCTGCGACATCGCAACTAGGGGGAATGAGAATCTTATATGTGACTAGAAGTGGTATGAATCCGGTGCTAGAAGGAAATTTGTGCTATGGTATGCTAGTTTTTTGCTTAGTGTGTGTATGATAACAGTTGCGATGGAGGGGGAACAGATGAAGGTCAAAAAGTCGTGCATCAAAACAAACAACTGAGCCTCGGGGTGTCCAAATAGCAACCATTACAAATATGAACAGAATACTCTCGGTCTAGTGTTAATCATATCCTGCATATTCAACATAGCAAATTTTATTATGTGTAGATAGAATCTATGTATTATAGTGTTCACGTATCGCACGCGACCAGGTGTTTCTTCCTCGGTCAAGATGCGTGTGGGCCGAAGGGGGTAATTCTGAGGATTACAGCGTTCCACTCACTCAGTGTTTCTCTCTTGCTCTCCATCCCTCTTCTCTTCTAGCTTTCAACTCAATCTCAACATCCTCCTCTCCCTTTATCAAATCCATCCTCACTTTTCCCTTGAAGTTTCAGAAAGGAATTATATGTCACGTCTCTAAACATGCGGGAAGATCTCATAAGTTCCGCTGTGAGTTCTATCATGTGAATTTGTTTTTTTAACTCGCGTTTTCTAACTTTACTCCAGGTCACTTGTATGATATCCAATCCTTCTCGGTATCCACCGAAAATTTACTAACTTCTATCCGCAGTTCTTTCTGACCCTGCCGTTGCTGCCGCGCCTCTCGAAAAACGGATAGCTTTTTTACAGTCGAAGAACTTGACCAAGGACGAAGTCGATGCAGCTCTATTACGGGCTGGAGGGACCCCCGGCCCGGTATCTACCAGTCTAGTGCCATCAGGCACTTATCCTCCGGTTGCGTCACCACCAGCGCCTGGATACAATACCGGTTACTATGCTCCTCAACAATACCAGCATATTGCAGCAGGGTATGTTCCTTTGGTGCGTATGGATCCAAATGGGTAACTAACTCCACTCAAGACCTAGAGATCGTGATTGGCGTGATTGGTTCATCATGGCAACCGTCACAACCACTATTGGATTTGGGCTATACCACCTGGCGAAGCGATATGTAGCACCGATGATCTCGCCACCCACGCCACCCCAACTAGAGACGGATAAGGCCCTCATTGATGCTAAGTTCGCAGAAGCCTTTGACCTGTTAGACAGCTTGAAGAACGATACAGCAGCGCTCAAGACTGCCGAGGAAGAACGTAAGAATCGCGTGGATGCGGCCCTCGCTGAGGTGGAAAATGTCATTCAGGGACTGAAGGAGGCCGGAAAGCGGCGTGAGGACGAGTCGAAGCGTGTTGGAGATGAGGTTCGTGGTTTGAGGGATTTGATTCCGAAAGCGCTAGAGGGGCAGAAAGAATTACAAAAGAAATCTCTCGAAGATTTACAGACCGAGTTAAAGAGTTTGAAACAATTGGTCATGAACAGGACCGGTGCTGCTAGGCCGAGCTTCTTGCCTAATGGACCAACTGGCACACCACCACTAGATCCGGGGAGTGCGACGGGAGGAGCTGGCCAGACTCTAGGTAGTGCTGTAACGCAACAGGTTTTGGGCACAGGAGGAAATGCTCTTGGGGGTCTGCAGAGGAAGGAAGGCAGTGCGCTGCCCTTCGGTGCCCGGTCCGCGATCCCCGCATGGCAGATGGCGGCCGCGGCAAAGCCATCTCCTGCCGTACCGGCTGTGGGAGCTAGCAGCAGCACAGGGGAGGGTGCCGAAGCCAGCTCAAGTTGATTTCTCTTAAGCTAATTACTTCCTTTTAATCTCATTTGTGCTGTTCTGCCTGTTTGTCGCTTGGGTGTTTGATTACCGTATAGGGAGGACGAAATGGGGCATGTGTAGCATATTATATACCATTAGGCAGAAGTTGATAATACCATAACCGGAGCTCTTTTCGCCATCATTATTCATACATAGGGAACGTCTGGTCCATCGCAGGTATTCCCGGACGTTAGTGGGCCTATCATAGTGCTTAATCTCAGCCGGGTAACATACTAAGACAAGTTGACCCAGCAAGGTTCAGCCTCCAAGGTTCAACTAAGATTTTGTAACACTCTGTCACCGGTAGGCTGTAGCAGCCAGCAACCAAGAAAGTTCTCATAATCATACGGGAAAGTACCACCGCTAAACCACGCGTACACCTATCACGCCTTCCCTTCCCCACGATCCCCCTACCACCAACCCTCCCCCCTCCCTCTCACTCACCACCAATAACTATCAATAAGACAACAGCGAAAACAAAAATACCAATGGATTTCGCCCCCTACCAATCCGAGTCTCCGGAGGTCTCAAGAAACTTCACCCGGCCGACTTCCCCACCTGTACGGTCCTCATATTCACCCCTCCCCACGCCCCAAGTCCCCCCGCCTGTACTGCCAACCCACTCTTCGCCGTCGGGATGGGGTAGCGGTGGGCTAGGTCGGGAGACGATAAATCAGTTTGAGACGAGTTTGCCCATACGGTTTGTTTATCACCTTCCCCGGAGGAGATGTCTGGGGAGGAGCACCGGTAGCACCGTAGGCTGATGGGGATTTAGGTTGGACTGGGAAGCCGTTATGGCATACGTGCTATTGCCGCCTGCTGGTGGTGTGTTGTTGTTGATTTTGGAGCATAAGAGTGATTATGTTAGGTACTTTTACCCCACTCCCTTGTCTTGCTTTCTCGAAGTATGGGGGGCGGGCGCTGATTGAGGGTTTAGGTTTCATGCGTGGCAGAGTTCGCTTTTGTTTGCCTTCCTGGTGGTAAGTTTCCTTATTGGGGATGGGTGAGTGGATGGAGCGGAGTGCAGTAGTTGCTAATAGTGAAGATAGATCCTACATCTTATCTTTTCGTTCTCGGCGTTCTTGTCGTACTCGCTGCTAGTGGCGGATTTAGGCTTGGTTGGGTATTTGGGGTTCCATGCCTATGTTGATGCGGATACTCTTGATAGGTATGCTCGGGGTTGTCCCTTGCTTTGCGGTTAACCTGGGGAGGTCTGCTGACTATTTCTGGGGTATGATATGATAGATGCGAAGTGCCCTTCTTTGGCCCCTTGGCCAGCTCGATTTTGGATGATGAGTAAGTGTTGCAAGGGGTTTTCGGCGGTTAATGGTTATTTCCTTTATGATAAGGTCCAAATTTCTCAGTTTCGTGAGCAAGCAGCTATTTGTAAGATATAGAAGTGTATCGACAAGGTTTTGCAGTGGGCCTAGGAGAGGCTTAATAATGATTTTCTGGGCAATATACTGCATAGTACCGGTTATATAATATATCCTTTTGACATTCAACTCGTGGAAGATGAATTTCTACGTGGGATCGAAGCTTATCCATGGTTGCATAGCGAAGGTCTGTGGCCACGTGCGGCCAAGGCATGTGGGAAATGTATAGGGGGGTGTCCCTTACCTGTGAACCTCACACGACGTCAATGAACTCGCAACAAACACAATGCAATGCGTTCTCTCCATCCTCACTTCCCCTTCAACAACATCGCCGCCACCAGTATCTACACTCTCTCTTAATACCGAATACTCGGCTACAACGCTGACACCCTAAACAGTAATCCCCTAATAGCTAATTAATGAAATGGTTCTTCGCCCAGTACTCGTACCTCCCCTCCAACCAAACTTTATCAAAAAGCTAATAGGAGCTCACAACAGTCTAACAGCTTCCTCCTCCTCCTCCTCCCCCTCCGCTTCCTCCGCTTCCTCCGCTCGCGGCCCGCACAACGCGCCTACCTAACCACTCTTCTCCTAAGCATCTCAACCCTGATCCTCTTTTTCCTAGCCGTAATCTCCTACACCCTTTTCTACATCCACCACATTCCACACATTGGTGTTCAAAAACCCCTGCACCTACAATTCCCCATCTCCCCATCCACCCCACCCCACTCCTCCACCCACCAACACCATCACCATCCAACCGGCGCAATCCAGTTCAGCGGTGAAATCATCCCACGACAGGAATACTCCGTCGCCCTCCTCTTACACCTCCCGCCCTCCCCCGAGAACCAGAATGCTGGGAACTTTATGGCTGAAATAACGATTTACTCTACTCCTCTCTCCCCCTCCTCTTCAGCTTCCATGCCGGGAATGGTGATAGCGACCGGTCGTCGGGGAGGGTTAATGCCCTGGCGCAGCCCCATCGCTCGCACAGCGCACACGTTACTTCGACTTCCGTTACTGCTCTTTCTACCAAATGCGAAGGAGGAGGAAGCCATCCGTGTGGTACTGCTTGAGAACGTAGTCTTCGGTGAGCTCGCCCGACATGCAGTGGTCAGTCTAGAGAGCCGCTCGAGACTGGACGTGTACGAGGCCAAGGTCGAGTTCCGTGCGAAGTTGGCTGGAATAAGGTGGATCATGTGGCGGTGGAAGGTCCTCAGCTTTTTCCTAGGGAGCGGGTTATTCTTTGCTGTGGAGGTTTTGGCGATGGGGGTGGTCTGGTGGGCGGTTTATAGATGGTTCACTAGCTCGGGAAAATTGGCTGCGTCTGGCGGGGGAAGGTATCTCGAAGGTGAGGACGATACCGTAGAAGAAGAGGAAGACGATGGAGTAGACGGAGTAGATGATCTAGGCTTTGCCACACCAGAGAGTCTGGAAGCGGATGACGAAGAAGATGACGATGAAGTCCTATTAAAGAGCGACGTGGGCGATTCCGGAATCGGGGGGTTGTCGGAGAGTCTAGGGACTACCGCCAGGGAGAAGTCCGCAGGTGGTGCAAGCGGCAGTGGTGGCAGCAGGAGGCGGAGGACTAGGCTGGGGTAATGATGGGCGAAGGTGGTAATTGAACTAACACCGGAGCAAAAGGGCGGGATAGTTATAATAAAGGCTCACGGGAGTTTTTAAGCTGGTTGTTTGAGCCTTCAAGATTAATCACGATTTTTTCCCTTCCGCTGCTTTTCTTGGACGTAATCCACTATTGGAAATAGCGGCTTCTCACGATCCCCCTAGTCGACTTCCTAGTGCATATTCAGTGGGTGCCGAGATGAGGCCTCCGCTACTGGTAGTTATCCTTGACTAAGGATCTAGTCTTCTTAGCATGAGATGGATCATTGGCAGTGGATGGGAGGTTCTGATTAGTCCCTTGCGTCCGCTAGAATAGAGAATTATGTGCTGTCTTCTATCTTTGCTCCCCCATATCCTTTTCACATTCGTTGGTGGGGGTTGTGGCTTCTCAAGCTCCTACTAGCCGACCCCACAAGCACATTCGGTACCGAGATGAGGTTTTCACTAGCACACTTGACTAAGGGCTTAGCCTTCTTGGCATCGGATGGGTCATCGGGAGTGAGTGCTGAACCCACGCAATATAAATTTATTAGAGTCATGGTTCTCGTATTCTGCCATCCTACTAAATTACACCCAATGTCCTTCGACACCCAAACCCTGGAAATTTTCGAGTGATGGACTGTGAGCAAGACAGGGGGAAAGCGTATGATAATACTATCAAGACAAACTTTTAGAAGATAGAGTCCACAGCGCCGCCAACATTCTATCCAAATAAACATAAGGAAAAGAAGCCCCAGACTACACTTCACTCCCCTCCCCCTCCCCCCTCTCAATCTCCTCCATAATCCCCCTCCACCTCCTGGCAAACTCCCACACGGCCTCCTCCCCCTGCACACCGGCCTCAACCACCTCCCTAGGCAACTTGCTGGAAGAGTAGGTTGCAGTGCCAAACCCCCACGCCTTTGGGTCCCCGCTCTCCACGAGCTTAACCTCCACCACTTCCTCATCCTCCTCGCCCACCTCCTGCGTGCGAAGCCGTAATATATCCCTCCAAGAAAACAACCCCGAATCCGTCCTCGGGGCAAAGGGGTTAATATCCACTAACCATACCCTCCTCCTTCCCCCTCCGCCCTCTCGCGCGGTCGGCTCCACATAGCAATCAAACACGAAATCCTCATCCGGAAAGCCCGCCAAAGACTCGTCAAAAAACCCCACAACCAGCCCCCGAATCTCACCCTTCAGTTCTCCCAGGAAAGCGTAGTGATTGAAGTCGCGCTGCGAAATGCCCACGACCCGTCTGCCAGCGACGAAGACGCGGAATTCGAGGGCGGGGTTCATGTTGAAGTATTTTCGCAGGACGAGATGGTACCGGATCGAGGAGGCGGGGGTCGGGTCGGATGAGTCCGTGTCGTCAAACGGGTGCTCGAGGTCGTGGGTTACGAAGTCGGAGGATTTCAGCAACAGGTAGATATCGCCCGGTGTTCGGCATTCGAGGGTGCGAGTTGCGCTCATAAAGAGAGCGTCCTTCGGGGAGGACCAGTTGAGTTTCGGGGTCACGGCGCCGCCAAGGGCTGCTATCGTTTGCTTGATTTGTGAGTGGAGTTGGGGGAATCTCTGTGTGGGGTTTCTCGCTCTGTCTTCCCCCTCGTCCTCCTCATCCTCAGCTTCACCGGGGGGGAAGTTGCTGGGCGCATTTATTTCCTCGTCGCCCGAACCAGCAGTAGTAGTAGCGGGCGGGGTGACGTCCTCGTCGTCCGGGAGGATGATACCATCTTCGCGCAAATAGGCGAGGAACTCCGGTGTTAGCGGAATTGTGCGCGCTTTCGGAGTTATCGACTTGTAACGTGTGTGCCATGAGGCGAAGGCGCAGTTCAGTATGTGGGACTTTTGCACGGGGGGGAAGATCTCGTGGAGGGCTTGTGGAGGGGCCAAGGTGTGGAAGTCTGGGTCTTGGTGAACCATTGTTGGTGGGAGCAGTTGTAGATGAAGATGCGTTCTTGATGGCGGGGTTGTTTACCAGCGGGGTAGAGGTTGAGCACAGTACCACGGTAATGTCCAGTATCATACGTAGAGTAAGTTATGGGTGGAAGTGTTGCTCTTTAAATCCACTCAATGGCCATCGTCCGCTCACCCACTGACTCACTCAATGCCATCCCAATGAATGAGTCAACCTATCATCACCCAGAAGTGGAGGGAAAGTTGGGAGAATCTGGTGAAAGGCTACCGTATTTTGATCAGTTATCTGTGCGAGTTATCATATCTAATCTAACGGCCTCCTCCTCCCCCGTCATCCAACTCATTGCCCGAGCCTAACCGAGGAAGACAGAATAAGTTATAGCCATTGTAATTATTTCATGTCATGAGTTGCTCAGAGCGAAGCAAATAGACTACTTCATACTGGTACCATACTGGTACTCGAGCAGACCATAAGAGAGAGAGAGTACGGTAGGTGTGAAATCCCCATCGCGTTCCCATCCCTCCGATTGGCAACGGTAAGTGGTTGGTGAATTGGGGGAAAGAAAAAAAGAAAGGAAAAAATCGGAACAAATTTGTAATGGGGAAACCCGATGCACAAAAAAGCCCTCCTCCACTTTCGTCTTAGGAAAGTTTAACTAGACAAACAGGATCTTCCCCCCCTTCACTCACCTTCTTAAAGGACGGGCACATCAACTCGCCATCACTCGGGGTACTACTTTGCAACGACTATCATAAAGGGCTTGAGGGAGAGGGAGAGGGAGCGAGTTGAAGCGGAATAATAATTGCCACAACAATGGCTGCTACCCGTCGAGCACCATTGGTACTTTTCCGCCGGATTAATTCCCCGGCATTTCTATCCAACAGTAGCAGGTACTCGTCGCTGCGCCTCCCCCTGCAGAGACCCACACCGACAACAACAACATTCAAAACCAGCAAAAGCCACCAATACCTCCGCCCCTTCTCCTCCACCTCACGACTCCAGAACGAATCCCTCCTGCATGCAGAGCGGGAATCTGACCAAGTCGACGTGGTGATAGTCGGAGGCGGCCCCGCCGGCCTCTCCGCCGCAATCCGGCTGAAGCAGCTGGCGAATGCCTCCAACAATGCCGACTTCCGCGTCCTGCTACTGGAGAAGGCCGGCGATATGGGAGCGCACATCCTCTCCGGCGCTGTGGTCGAGCCGTCAGCACTCAACGAGCTCCTGCCGGACTGGAATTCCCCGGACAATCCCGCCAGGTTTGAGGGTGTCACCGCCGTCACGAGTGACCGGATGAGGTTCCTGACGAAGAAGCGGGCCATACCAATACCCGGACCGCCACAGATGAAGAATCATGGGAATTTCATCGTGTCGTTGAACGAGATGGTCAAGTGGCTGGCTGAGCGTGCGGAGGAGGTTGGCGTGGAAGTTTATCCGGGATTCGCCGCGTCGGAGGTGTTGTATGGGCCTGACGGTGGGGTCATGGGCGTTGCGACGAATGATCTAGGTGTTGGGAGGGATGGGAAGCCGAAGGCTTCGTTCGAGCGTGGAATGGAGTTTCATGCTAGGTGCACGTTGTTTGCGGAGGGGTGCCATGGAAGCTTGACGAAAAACGTCATCAAGAAATTCGATCTGCGTCGGGACTCGCAGCCACAGACCTACGGGCTTGGATTAAAAGAGGTTTGGGAAATCAAGCCGGAGAACTTCGTCAAAGGCCAGGTCAGCCATACCATCGGATGGCCGCTGCCAAATAATACATATGGTGGCTCCTGGATGTACCATTTTGGCGAGAATAAAGTTAGTCTAGGGTTGGTTGTTGGTCTCGTAAGTTTCCCCTTCAACTAAACCCCAGATCTCGATCATTTCCGCGCTTACAAAGTTGTGAGTAGGACTATCCGAACCCTTACCTCTCCCCCTACTCCGAATTCCAACGCATGAAGCACCACCCCTTCTTCTCCTCCGTCCTCGCCGATGGCAAATGCATTTCGTACGGCGCCCGGGCACTAAACGAAGGCGGCTTCCAATCCATCCCGAAAGTATCCTTCCCGGGTGGAGCATTGATCGGGGATACCGCGGGCTTCCTCAACGTGCCAAAGATCAAAGGAACCCACACATCCATGAAGTCTGGAATGCTGGCCGCGGACGCAACCTACACCGCACTGACGGAGAAAACCTCTGGCACGGTGATGCTATACGCATACGAAGACGCCCTACGCACGAGCACGATCTGGAAAGAACTAAAGCAAGTCCGAAACATGCGCCCGAGCTTCCACAACCCGTTGGGCCTCATAGGCGGAGTCCTATATTCCGGCCTCGAAGCCTACATACTGAAGGGTCACGTCCCATGGACACTCAAACACCCCACCCCCGACCACGCCGCTACCCTACCCGCCTCTCACCCCTCCGTGCGGAAAATTTCGTATCCAAAGCCCGACGGCGTCCTCTCGTTCGATATCCTGACCAGCGTCTCTCGCACCGGCACCAATCATGAAGAGGACCAACCCGTGCACCTCCGCGTCAAGGATTGGCAAGCCCACGCGCGTAGGGAGTTTCCGAGGTTTGATGGATTGGAAAGTAGGTTCTGTCCTGCCGGCGTTTACGAGTATGTTGAGGAGGATGGGGGTGGGTTGGGTGTCAGGTTTCAGATTAATGCGCAGAATTGCATTCATTGCAAGACTTGTGATATTAAGGCGCCCAGTCAGGATATTGAGTGGTCGACGCCGCAGGGGGGAGAGGGGCCAAAGTATTATTTGACATAGTAGGGTGAGGTGGCGATGGGTGATGGTGTTTTCTCTCTCTCCTTTTCACCTACTACACGCGCAGGGAGGAGGATTGTAATATAATTTAAGCTTTGGCCGGCGTGAACACATATCATACCATACCATATGATCTATGCTAATGGGAAAGCCCGCTTCTCACAGGTACACCTTTCGCAATCCGCGCCCCACTGTTAGAGGAACAAAACCACACTCACCATAACTTCCCCCAGTATGATACGATGCCATCCTTACCCCCACACATCTCCAGAAAGTAAAAGGGCAAACAACAAACCCACACCACATCACATACAGCGCAATACAAGCATAATTATGATAGTCACTACGTACCTTAAGAATCGATCCCCGGGCTTTAATTCAATCCCCAGCACATTAAGTATATACATACCCGCACTTCACCAACCAACCCACCCACCTCACCCCACAAAACACAAAAAAAAAACCCACAACAGTACCGCAGAGCAGGGGCCGTATCCCACACTATGAGACCAAGCCATACCGCCACCTGACCTGGATCCCTCCCTCAAATCCAGATAGATACCCGCTTGGCACTAGTTTGGTTCGTGGGAGGGCTGAACGGAGGGCCAGCAGGCCGGGGTCTATGTAATGGTGAGGAGGAGGGGGGGTGGCCGAAGGACACTTTAACCACGGGGAGCATTCCCCCACGCCCTTTTCGGTGTGATACGTAGTTTGAGATAATGTATGTACGTAGTGGATTATTATTGGCGCTGGGAAGTAATAATAGGGGGTCGAGATACTGTTCTGGAGCACTGACCGACTGACCGACCCAACTGATGGTGGTTCCCACGGGGTGGTAAAGCTAATATGCCCTCCCCCTCGTCTACTCACCCATCCTTCTCAGTCTGTTCTGACCTCCCCTCGGCGGTCATTCCAGTACTGTATCACATACCCCAGGACGAACTTTGCATGGGATGTGTAAAGTACTCACTCGAGTGATACACGGTGAAACAATGTTTCCCTTTGTTTAGTTTTTTTTGATGGGGGTTTTCACGGTATGATACGGTAATGATCATTCCCGATTCTTTCCTTTCTTTCCAGAACGCAGCCCTGGCCGAAATGGGTAACTGGAGTGTATATCCATACCACACGTTGGTTATCGGGAAACCGCTGTCGCTGAGGGGAGAGGTGCAACGGAAAATGTTGCCAAGAATTGCAATCAACTTTAACCATTACGGGTAAAGCTGTCGTAGTGGGGTTACGATGAGCTAACCGCAACAATTGTTTTTTTCCACCTACGAATTATCAAAGCTCCAAGACATCAACCTATCAAACGAAAGAAATTAATTTGATCCTCACGACATGCCACAACCACCACAGTTCCCCCGCCCCCGACGGGGAGCACCACCACCACCACCACCCCTCCTGCACATCCAAGCACCAGCGCGGCGACCCCCGACCCGCTCCAAAACCCCCCTAGTTCTAGCGGCAGGAGTAGCAGCATACGGCCTATCCCTCTACGCAGCATACCTATACACAACCCTCAAGGACCTCCCGCCCGCGCCCTCGAGCCCACACCTGCAGCCCAACAACGCGAAAGTCTACAATGCCCTCGCGAGCGAGTACGACACGAGCATCTGGTTCTCCGAGCTGACCATGGGCCTCCCACTCCTCCGCCGCGCCCTGGCGCGTCGGGCCCACGGGCACGTGCTGGAAGCGAGTGTGGGCACGGGGCGGAACGCAGCGTACTATGACATGGGCAAGTGCGCCAGCGTCACGATCGTGGACTCCAGTCGGGAGATGCTAGCGGTCGCGCAGGCCGCATTCGCGGCTCGGCGTTCGGGGGCGACGACGACGCGGGTGCGGTGCGTGCACATGGATGCCGCCGCACCCTTGCCGCCGCCACCGGCGTCCGTCGAGGGAAAGTACGATGTGGTCATACAGAGCATGGGGATATGCTCGCACCAGGATCCCGTCGCCCTGCTGCGCAATCTGGCCCGCTGCGTCAAGAGCGGCGGTGAGGGAGGTAGGATCATCCTGCTGGAGCACGGGAGGAGCAGGTTCGACTGGGTCAATGGCGTGCTGGATAGGTTGGCGTGGGGACATGCTAGGCGTTGGGGGTGCTGGTGGAATAGGGATGTTGGCGAGTTGGTGGAGAGGAGCGGACTCAGGGTGCTGGAGGTCAAGAGGTATCATTTCGGGACTACATGGTGGATAGTGGCTGTTCCCCCGGATTAGGGTGGTGGAGAGAACAGGAGTTGGTGGTCGAGTATACCCTCACACACACACACACACATACCCGGTGGCGCTCCGTTGTCTCTCTCGCCTTTGACGATAATAAAATCCGAGTGACATACCATACCTGTACAAGTACTCGTAACGAGATAATATCATATCCTCCCAAAGATATCACCATCGACCAATCACGTGATACCCCCACCCATGATTTTTTAAAAAAAAACCCATCGCACAAAGCACGAGCACGGGTAACGCTCCGTATCACCGCATCGTTTCACTCATGAAGTCTACCAACCCCTGACAACAAGGAATCCGTTCCCTTAACTTATCATAAAGTTATAATACAACCTGTAAAAAAGTTTTACAGTTTACCATACAGGTATCATACATGGTATCACGCATGAGTCAAGTTATTCATTACCATACCGGTACCCCTCCCCCATTCTTCATCCATCATCCATTCCGTCCGTCACAACGCTATTTATTTACGGTACCTTTCCCCGCCTCATCCGGGAGGGCAAACCGTTTCGGATGTGCTTTTATTTATTCGATTCGAAGGGGGTGGGTTACACACCGAATGATACTGTATTTCAAATTTTTTCGAGAAAGTAAATATTTGTAAACTTGAGGCATTCACGCCGGATAATTTAGTTACTGTACAGTACAGTACGGTAAGTGCGGATTTGAACGCCCGTACTGGTGGTACTGTACTTGTATCGGTTGTCTTGTTCACTATGAATGTCCGGTTCCTTGCAGACGGCAAGAATGGTCCACCTTGTACTGTACTGTGTGGTAAGTTAAGTTTACAAGTACTTGTATAGTACGAGCGCCATCTTTGGCTCCCCAAAGATTTGGGTACTGTACTGCAAACGGTAAGAATCACTTTGGACTTGACGCTGAATTTGCAGGAATGGAAGCCAAAAGCGTTGCGAGTATAATAATATTATTATATTATATAACCCGAACTCGTAAATCGAGGCATTGGAAAGGCGGAGAAATGAAGTGGGTTCCCCTTCTTTCCAGAACGCCATATTTATCACTTACGACGAGTAAAGTATGAACTATCACCATGTACTGTACTATATATACATGTATGCTTGTGTAATAAACTACCGTAAGTTCTTAATATTGTTGTGCGCAGAGGAGCGGGAACCTCTCTCTCTTTTTATATATATATATATATCTCCAACCGTGAATTCTTTTCTTTTCGAAGGGTTTTTTTGCCCCTGTCGAGATATATTTACCGTACAAGTACGTCACCGGTACGGCACGGTATTCGGGACGGTCGGGTCATGTCGGTACCATAAGTAGAAAAATTCGTGATGACAAAAAGATCCCCCTATGATACCTTTTATTTTTCTGGTAATGGTGGGTACATCATAATATGTAAATTTGGAATTTGGAATTTCATGCGGAGAAACTGGTAACTTATCATACTGTACATGTGATACTTTGAGTTGGTGGTCCTTCGCTCCCGTGGAGTATGACACTCTCGTGCAGTACTCGAGCAGGCTACAGTTGCTTGTGGCGTAGCTCTTCACTTGGGTGCTCGGGAGGGTCGTTTGAACCCCGGTTTGTTTGTTCCATTCGGAGGTGTTGTTTGGGGTTTGTCTGTTTGTTTGTTTGTCCGTTACCGGTATTCCCCGTTATCTAACGTGGATCGCGGAGTTCGATCGAACTGTGAATGTGAGAGAGAAAATACCGATAATATAATAATAGTCTAACTCGAGGATGATTTTTTTTTTTTTTTTTTCCACCTTCCGACGTGGGGGGTTTGGTCTATACAATAATAGGCTCTGATATCCCTTTGCACGTTTTCGAGTTAGACTACTTTGAAAAAACCCCTATTGCAGTGCTAGTATTGTAGGGTATGATACTATGAACAGCGCCGGCAACGAATGGGTCGTGTATCATAAAAAGAACAGTCGGTGAAAATATCGTGGCAGATTTTCTCCGAGGAAACTACTTGCTCGTCCTTCTCCGCCAAAATTTCTGGCCTTTCCTATCTATCCTTAAGACAGATTTCAACGACCTTCTGGAATCTCCGTCCCACTTTTTCACTTTTCTTTTCAGAGTGCTCGAGTATGGCGCCGGCACACCCCTCGCCTGTACTCGTACTTGTACTCGTACGGTGGATATTCGTCGCCTTTTAGTTTCCTGAAATGTTCGATGTTAGGAATGATTTTCAAGCGTACTTGTACAGTACTCGTATCATACTTGTATCATACTGTAGCTTGGCAATCGTGTGGATGTTTTTCCCTGGGCACAGGTCAAGTCATGCCAAGAGCCACCCAGTTCATGCTGCCTCTGGTGAAGGGTCTCAGATTAGCCCTAGGTGGTAAATTGGGCTAAAAGGCTACAAGCACTGTATCATATTATTGTAACGAAATCTGGCCACAGATCGAGGGAAAAGGTGTGTGAGGTCGGGGAACAGGAGGAAGGGATCATGCTTGCTTACTTTCTACAAGTTCCGTTAGAAATTGGAATAGTTGGACCCCGCGCGAGACAAGTAGGGACGTTAGAGTTGCCTCTCCTGGTAAGGCTCGTTTGTCCCCCTCCCCCCTCTCATCCCTCTTTGTCTTGTCTCAACAGCTGAAAGCGCTCTGTTTGCCCCCCCTCCATCCAAAGAGGGGAATTCTGGACGTCCGAGCGTGAGGTCCAACTATTCCAGTTTCCAGGGTGACTTGGCCCTCGTACTCGTACTGTAGTAGTATTATGATAACCTGTCATACCTTGGTTAGACATCACGGCGGGAACATGCGCCGGTAACTCGGGTTGATGGACCCTCCTCCCCTCTCTCCTGGATGCCCACTATTGTACGGTACGGTGCCGGTACCGTACTTGAATAACTGACCTCATCGGGGGCACTCGAGAGAAGACTTGTTTGGGATTGTTTGTTGTGAATGTGGATGCCAATGCGCCCCCCTTCATTTTACTCTTTTGGGGAGGGGACGGGGCGTGGCAGCCGTTCCTATCTGTGATGCATGATAATACGGTATTATTTACCGAACGGTATCTATTTATCTGTTATTATGCCCGGTGGCTGTCCGTCTGCCGGTATGTGCTCGAGAGGGGGAATGATAACCTGTGTGTAATTAATTCGAGTTAATAATATCCCCATATTTTTCTTACACTAACTTGACCCGTCCACTCCGACCCCCTCGCAGCAGTGCTTGCAAATATCATACTCGAGTACGGTACGGTACTCGTACTATACATTGTACACTATGGTACAGTACTCGAGCACTAGGACATAGAGCCGGTACTGTAATCGAGTACCGGTACTACCGTAAAAACTCGTTAAATCCGGCATCTGGAATCGGGCTTGGCTATGGTGCAAACAAGGTGTGCATAATCATGCCAAGAGATTGAGTGATCATCCATGATGCTGAAAAGACATTTGTTGAATGTCAATCCACAATCAACACAACTATTAGTTTACAAATTCTATAACTTTATCTCCCTCTATCCCAACATCTACCCTGTCATCAAGTGAGTCTAAATCTTCTTGCCAGTTGCCAATTTCCAGATTTTCAAATCCCTTGATATCCAACTCATGATCCAAACTACCTGTCATGAACGTGGCTTAGCAAGGAAAGGGTTTTCATGTGACACATGGTTATGAGTCACAGGTATGTTATTGTTTCACGCATGTGACCTATTCGGGTTATATGATTAATTATGAGTGGGATTTGTGATGCTTTCGCACATGGCTCAAGTATGAGTCATGGGATATGCAACTGACGAGTGTGCCTTACGGGTAAGCCTCACACATATGATTTATGTTTCGCACATGACCTCATTACGCTGTCATGGGTTTTGTGCATATGACTCCGTCGAGTCATATGACTTGTTTAATGCGTTATGATTGGTTTATGAGTTTTGCACATGACCTCGCTATGAGGTCATGGATTTTGAGCATGTGACCACTTTGGTCATATGACTAGTTTGTTATGATTTAGTTTCGCACATGTGACCACTTTAGGTCACATGACTAAAGGCGGGAAGAACACTATATAAGGAGGCTGATACGGCAGAGGAGGATAGGTTCTTCACGCTTTGTTCTAAGTACTTTTCCTCGTCCTTGCCGTCGCTTCGCCCCGAGCGTTTCTTTTGCCATCATGATGGGCCTTGATGCCTTAGATTCTGGGGGAAATATCTGAGTTCGCTCAGTAGTTCCTGGGGTCTTTGGTGTTGAGGTCTGTTAGGCGTTGCGTGACGGATAACTTGTTTGCGTCTCGTTTCGTTGGACTGGTTATCTCACGATACTAGCACTTCGAGCACTCATCACGGTCGCTTCCGAGCCCCTTTCGGTAAAATGTCTACGGCTTCCTGTCTATAGTCTACTCGCAGGTTTCACGTTCGATTGGGGGGATTGAACATTGTGTTTGGGGTGATCACCCGTGTCGTTCTTTGGGCCAGCTCATGTCTTTTGTTGGGTTTTAACAGAGTCCTTAGTTTACGCGATACAAAACGCCCTTGGGTTAGACTGATGACCTTCCCAAGTATCAACTTGTCGTACCGGCCGCATCATTTCCTCAAGGGAGGGGGCCTCGCCGGCCCCTCCCTGCCTCGTTACTTTATGTTTCTACGGTCGGAATCCTACGATATTGTTTATCACCGTTCCCTTGGAAATTTTGTCCTTGCGGCATATACGGTGGTTCAGTCAGGTGTCACCTCCTAGCTACGGTAGGGATGGCTTTGACCCTGAAAAACCTTACCCTCTGGAGTGGTTTTTCTTTACCGCCTGGGGTGGTGTGGGACGATTGGCTGCCAGGCACTCGCGTTGTCTGTGCGTCTGGGTGGTTCGGTTGTGGTCTGTGGTGGGCAGCTTCACCCATTGCAAGTGGGGCCTACCTTCTGTTTGTCTGCTTCTGTTCGTTCGCCCTTCCCCTTCTTGTCGTGTCGGTTGGGGATGCCTCTTGCCCGTTGTTTGGTCCGTGCCTGTTGCCGGACCTGTGGGGCTGGCTTTGGCTGGCTCTGCTTACTCTTTCCCGACTCGGTTGGATTTCGGTTCGGCTGGATTGGATGGTGTGGCTGGTGCCGGCGCCTTCGGGTGTTGGTGCTGCCTCCTTTGTGGCTCCCGGCTGTGGCTGGTGGGCTCCCCTCGGCTATATGGTGCT